TTTAATTTATGTGTTTTTTTATCGCTATATATGATCTTTTAAATATTCAAGAATGATATTCGAAAAATTTAATTGTTAATGCGTTAAAAAAATTCCATTTTTTGAAGTACTCTCTCTACATAAAATTATTTAAATTACTACTTAAGATTGCTTCTCTTTTACTAATTAGAATACTTTCCTTTAAACATATGTCGAGGTGACCGTTTCATTAAATTCCCAACCGATTCATTTTAATTTATCAACCTTAGGTTAACAGTAGTATTATTTACTACAATTTGTAAGATTTTCTGTTTGGTTAGTTCATCTTCATATATGTTATTATTAATATTAGTGTTATAATAATAATATATTTTATGTTTGATTATTGATAGATTTTTTTTCAAAAAATCAAAACTTTTATACTAAAACTGATGAGAGAAAAAGTGGAACAAGAGCATTGAATATTCTCGATATACTTCATAGTAAAGGTAACAATCAAACAATGGTGCACTACGTGTACATATGAATAAGAAAGGATACGAGCAAAAAAACGATATAAAAATATTTTTACAAAACTTAAGCTTCTTTCTACCCAGAGATCTTTATAACTTTTTGTATTGTTAATTTAACGATGTCTAAAGGATCAAGATTTCAATATTAAACAGTTTCTACTAAGAAGCATACGATTTATGTAATCGTTTCCATCATAAATCATATGTGTCTTTATTTCACAGACGTTTAGTGAAATTTTTATCTTTTTTCGATGAAAAGCTTTACATAGACTTCCTAGTCGCAGATTATTTGCGTAAATTTTAGACAAAATGCTTCCTGTGCTGACGAAATGTTGTTCAACGGAAAAGCAAATCCAATAATGTAACTTTGTACGGAGGTTGGTACTCCATTTGTTTTTCGCTGCCACCGAAGACTCACTGTAATCTTTTGATCATCTAAAAATTGATACCGTTTCTCATACATGTTATCTGGATGTTTAGTAAATACTTCTTTCCTATCTGTTCCTGCTGACTGAAGTATTTAACTGCTTTAATAGCACACAGAGTAATTACAAAGACAACATCAGTGCAGTTTGACTTCGCGTCTAAATGAGCAAATTTAAATGGTTTTCAGCTATCAAAATGAAGGGGAAAATAAATCTTTTCTTTCATATAAAATCGTATTATTTATATTTTGGAAATAGGCGAGGTTTCTAAAGTCGGAGCACACTCTCTCAGTTATACACATGACCAAGAACAACAGTAATTAATGAATTAAAACAAACGCTTTCACGCGTAATCCATTCGTTCAATAACGAACGACTTTTATTGAAGAAAAGAATCTGTCTTATGCACTATTTTCATTATGTTATGGGAAGAAAGTATAAGAAACATAATTAGTGATAATGACATGTTTGATTGTTTTCGCACTTTCCACCCAATATACTAGTTACAAGAGCAATACGTATATAATATTGTTATGTAAAATGAAACATCAAAACAATATTTACTACTTATGTACATGAAGAGAGAAAGCAGTCTAATGTTTAAATGTCGAAACGTAAAAAATTTCAACCCCCCCATATGTATATGTTCTCAATAATTCGTAAAAATTCCATACGACTGAGGATAAGCATATACGTTTACCTATAATTCTCGATAAATTTGCATGTATTTGTATGAAATTTGCTGCCTTTAGAGAATAAACATGTATGTTCTCAGTAATTTGTATAGACATTCCCCTCTTTGAAAGCAAATAAAAAATCTTTAAATTCATACAAGTGTTTTTGTTTAAACACTGTTTATTTCAGTTTTGTTCCTTAAGTCTCTCTCCTTCTCTCTCTCTACCTCTCTCTATATCTGTCTTATGCATTCTTTCATTCTTTCATATTATCGTATACTCTCTTATTGTCTATATAAATATTTTATATACCTGTTTATGTGTGTTTCTCTGCATAAAAAAAATATGGCATATTTTCAAGAGCATAAATAATCGGCAGTATAATATTTCATTTGCCTACCCAAGTAGAGCTTTCTTTTTGTTTTTAGATATTTGAGAGGGATGATTAAATGAAAGAGTATTTAAAGAAAATAAAGTATAACTGTAGGATAATTAAGATATGAAATTGAAATCGTTATCAAGGTAATAGGATTTTTTTTTTTGTTTATATGTTATTATTTACAATCAGAAAAATAGTGTACCAGAAGTTTCGCTTTTACCACACCTTGTGCGTAGGCGTACGCGTATATTTATGTATGTGTAGCTTCTTGTTGTTGATGGTAAAAATACTTATTCTTTAATACACTAGGGTAGCCAACGCTTCATTCGTTGTGAAGGAATGCCAGGTGTAATAGCTCACAATGCCTATTTTATGACTATGTATGTAGAATTCACTTAAAATCTGTTGTACGATGATACTCAAGTGTAGTAAAACCAGGATTCTTAGTTACCCCTGAGCTAGCTACGCATGACTCTTGTTTGTCGCTTTTGCAATTAAAAACTGCATGAAGTGGCAAATCATGTTCTTCGTTGTTCTGGCTAAGAGCTCGAAGTTTACGTATTCAAATCATGTTCAACAATTCGAGTTTCGTATTCGAAAAATAATTTTTTTTAAAATTGAAACTTGAACTGAGAGTCTTGACAAATTTTATTTTAATAAGTCACTAAAACAATGTACGAAAGCGACGATTTATTAAGATTTATAAATGAAAGTACTAATGAATGCCTGATATATGACACCATTTTTGAAAAAAAGGGAAATTTACCAAAATTCCCGCGAAAGTAACTTATAAAACAATCTCATAATTGATACAATTGAACAACTTAAGCTCGCTTTGAGGCGGCTCTTGAGGCAACTTCCGGGTTTAAACAAGTTAATGTGTTATGACCAAGCGAAGCCCACTACGAAATATTCTACATCACTTTGCCTAAATCAACCTCTCCATAAAATGTCAAAAATTATGTCTTGTTGCCGTATAAATGCTTATTTTTAATGAGGATCCTTATATTTGGAGTAGTCACAGCTTGCTACAGTAAATTTATGTTTTATATTATTTTTTCGCATCAATTTTCATAATAAAATTTTGAAATTTTTTTTTTTTTTATAGTTTTTAAATAAGATTTATTCTATCCAAATTTCCCGCCTGGGTAGCCGAATAGATAAGAATGGCACTTACCAGCCAGTGTGCGCGGGTTCAGATCTCAATACGGTAGACTTTACCGAGCACTCAGTTGGTAAGGGCGTAAAACTTATCGATCCATTAGGAAAAGTTTAAATTTTTCTTAGAAATTTTTGATGTAAATTTTTCTTAGAAATTTTTTTTTTTAACCTTGCTTAAGTTTGCCTTATGTTGAGAACTCCCCTTCTTACTTATCCAATAACAAACTTTACCAAATGTGTCGCTAATGTTTTCGATATTTAATAGTATGTTTTATGTATATAACCCTGATATGTAGAGAAACCTTAAAGCAATTCTATAACAACAGTTTTGTCTTTTTTCCTAAGAGTAAATATGCGTTTACCTTATGGCTAAGAAAAAGTATACTAATCAAAAACTTACTTTACTTACTTTATGATTTCACTGCCGATAAAAATTTTCATATAAGTGATGTACGTAAAAATTCACATTATTCATAGACGAAGTGGGAATGATTTGTGTCGATTATGCAACACACAAGAGGACTTGAAGTACACCCAGTTCTTATTATATCGAATGCTTCAGCATTACCATGTGAATCGATGGAATCTTGGCTGTCCGTCTGTCCGTATTGCTTTCTTTCGTTCAACTCAACAGGCCTCAATTTTTGAGACATTTTGATAAAATTTACATTGACGTATTGTAGCGCAAAGGTGAACGCCATTGAAAATGCTTTCGATCAGACCACTTTCTCGACCACTTTTCATAAAACGCCCTATTTTGGAAAGTCACAAAATGCAAAAAACAGCATTTTTCAAAATTTCTCGACAAAAGTGGCCAAGTGAGAGCATCTCGGTATTCTAAAGTGGGTTGAAAACTTTGGACCGGGTAGAGAAATTTTTTGAACACTCTCTAATATGTCTAAAACTAAAATTAATATGACAAAAGTGTCTTATGCTTATTTTCTGACTCCTATCCTATCTAAGAATTTTCTTGAAAATTGGTCTTTTATAGGGCAGAAAAGCACAAATTTGTAAGAATCATTTTGAAAAGAATTTAGACGCATACTTCTAAGATGATGTAGGGTACTTAATTGTGCGCTACGAACTATTCTTTGCTTTTGTTTATCTTAATTGAAGCGATGTGTACACATAAATCTTAAAGCTCTCCTTACTTTATTTAATCTTAAGGCTTTGCTTCCCCAAATGGGAAAATCTATCCAAGAATTATCAAAAATTCTTTTATCTTTCATGTGATGTATGATTTTATAAAGGCATCAGATTTTTTCTGATTAGGCTGCGGTCGCTTCTCTATCTTCCTCTCCCCCTCCACTTCGTTTCCACCGTATGACGCGAATCACAATCTTTTCTTGCAATAGCTTTCATCAAATTTGATTTTACATGGGGAATGTTATTAAAAATGGTCCGGTCATGATCGCACTTCCAATATCTTTCGTTTTCCGAACAGCAAATTTTAGTGTATCTCGAAATTTGTGTCCTAAGACCGGCAGATGGGTAAACGAAGAAACCAGGAAGTTAGAAAGTGATTCTGAAAAGATTTTTATAATATAAAAGGAATTTGCTTGAAGTCCTTCTGGGTGAACCGTATATCCCTTTAAATTGAACATCCACTTATTGTAGGCTGCGTAAAATATACTATGTCACAAAGTTATTACGCTGGAAAAACTTCTCCTTTACGAAATATTTGTAGCAAGATTTAGCTGAATCTTTCTTATGGGCGAAGAAATTATGTTCTATTTTACCTTCCAGTAGTTCATTGAGGAAAAAAACGGTATTCTTAAAGAAAAGAAAAAAATAGTAACAACAACAAAGCAAATTAAACAAAGTATATTATTTTGAATTAAACCTCTTTATGTTAACAGACTAAAAGAAAAAAAATGTAAATAAATTGTAACAAAAATGAAAGCATAATAAACAAATAAATAAATGAATGAATGATTGAGTGATTGAAAATGTCGCCATTGCTATCGTCTCATATGCCAAACGCTGTAGTATTTAATTCTAAAATTTTGTTGCAAATTAAAAATTTTAAAAATGTTCAACAAATAATAAATGAGAAAACGATAACAAATCAAAAGAAGAAGAATTTCGACAGCAATTAAAAATAAAAGTGAAACAATTCAAGCTCAAAAAGCGGCGGCATATTCATAACAAACACCGAAAACAGCAGCAATAAGAACAACAAGTACGGTGAAAAGAGCAACAACAACAACAACAATAATAACAATCGATTTTGTCAGCGATTAAATTACCCACCTTATTAGAGCAACCACAACCACAATAACAACACATTGTAACGACAACCGGTTAAGTAATAAATAAATCAAACAAACGTAATAATAATAACTATCAATAACAACAACAATAATAGAAAACTAGTAAATTTTTGTTCCTTAATTTCTGTAAACTCGCGTTAGCTACAAAAACACACAAACAAAAAGAAAACAAAGATATATCTATTTGCATATTTCTGTGCATCATATGCGATTCTCTACATAAATTTTAACTTAATTCCGGTATTGATGTTTTCCGCAACATTGTATATGCATAACGCATAGCAAACAATTAAGATTACAAATATTGCAAAAAGTAATTATTGTCATTATCCTGTGTATATTATAAGGAAGTCTGTACAAAGCGAAAAGTTTCTATAGCATTACGTTACAAGACCAAACACCAAAACACAAAAAAAAGAAAAAAAAAGAAGCGAGCACAAATCAATTTTTGCCTTAAATTTGAAAAAATTTATATAAGTTGAGCCTAATCGTGAAAAAAAAACCAATAAAGGAACTAGAATTGAAAATTCGGAGAAGCAAAAAGAAAAAACAAAATTAGCCAAATTCGGACCGTTTTGACGCAAAATGGCGGATGGTGGACATACATTTGTGAAGAAGAATTTTCATAAGCCAACGTATTGTCATCATTGCTCAGACTTATTATGGTTCGCTGTGATTGGACAAGGCTACATATGTGAAGGTAAGTCGATAAAAGTGAAAACTTTAGTCAACTAAAGTAGGAATTCAGACTTTAATGTAATAGCAACTATAAAACAAGTAAGAACATTATTATTGGGCAAGGATACCTTCCACCACTTCGTGCAGTATAGTTATTCATCCATTTTGGTAATAATACCCCAAAAATTGTTAATATTTTCATGCAAACGCATACTTTTGATGAAAGTCCACATATTGAAGGACGTCCAAAACATCATATGACGTGATTTAAATTTAGTAAACTCGATTGACTTCGTAAAAATTTTATTATTGCTCAGTTTTTATTAAAAAAAAGCTAGAAATAGCCTTTGTATTTATGTAATGGCTCGCTTTGCGTGAAAATCCCTATGTTAAGGTCTAAAAAATAGATCTATGCGATCCAAATTCTTTAATTTTAATTTTTTTGCTAAATTGCTACTATGGACCGATTTTTATCATAAAATATTGCAAATTACGCCTTTTTCTGAAGGGCTTACTATTCACGAAAAATCTTATATGAAGTGGCGGCCAAGAAATAGAGCAATGCGGTTCAAATTTAGTCCACTTCTTTTTTATGTGGAATTACTATTGTGAACAAATTTTTACCATAAAACATCAACAATTAAGCCTTTTTGCTTATGAGACTTTACAATTCAGGAAAAATGCGATGGTATTCAAAAAGCAGGTCTACGTGATCTAAATTCGACAAAGTTGATGTCTATGCCAGTTTACTATTACAAACTAATTTACATCATAAAATATTAAAAATTATATGTTTTTATTATGTAACGATTCAGCGTTCGTAGAAACGGTTATACGAGAGGTGGTTAAAAAAATTGTCTCAGCCGAACCAAATTTTTCATACCAATTCAGAATATCGAAGCACTATTACACATAGACCTTATCCGAAAACTTTGGAAATTGTAGTTCGTTTTCCATATAACGACTTTTCAAAATACAACGTCATATGTCCCCAATCATTTTCAATAGCATTCGTCCTTGGGTCACAACACTTCAGTGTACTAACTTTCATCAAAATATCTCAAATATTGCGGGCTATAAGTTGAACATAAAAACACATAGACAGACGGACAGGCAACCTTATATATAATATAGGATGTATACATAAATAGCGTAATAAAAGGCAGGTAAATATTTAGCCCTTCTGGTTATTACACAACTTAATGTACAATGTATCCGCAAGTTGTACATGGCACGAGAACTGATTATAAAAATTGAACGACTTCAATATGTCTGACGAAGAGTTAACATGATGAGAAATCGGTCGCAATTGTTCCTTAACATTTGCCAACGTTGATAATATCCATAGTACGAACATCTTCCATTATTCGGTCTTAAATTTATCCTTAAAGATGTAAAGTTGGGGCCCCGTGAACCCAGGTAGTTACAGAAGTCAAGTTGACGTGCCCGGGTTTCAGCCATGCCCAACGTGTCTACAGTGATTACTCGGACGATTTCCAGACTACGGCCCATTCCTACTCTCTCTGATCGTCTTCCTACTTATTTCTATCCGTCACTGTATTATACATGTAAACATAAAGATGATGTCTCCTAAGTGATAGGTCATATAAAAAAATTCATTTGGGCAAATCTAGATATGCCTTGCCTCTTGCAAACAGTCTCTTTGGGATTCTGGCATACCACTACTGGCACTAATTTAGTTCACTTTCGCTCCTTCTGTGTGGAAAATGAAATTTCTCTTCTTGCCTCAAAATGTTTGACAGACAACACACTCGAAAATAAAATATTAGTTTGGGGAAAAAGAAATCCATTATTTTTTCGGTAGATGGCTGCACTGATAGATTTCTCGTAAAGTATCGATCAAACAATTTCAGATTTATGCTCGTTGGAAAGGTGACATTTCGCAGTAAAAAAAATTCTTTTGCTGTTTTTTGTTTGGTGCATTCAGTTGTGAGTTACAGCGTGTTAAAAATGGAAGTGAACAAAGAGAAAATTCGGTACATATTACAGTTTTCCTTTGACAAAGGCGAAAATGCAAGCCAGGCGGCTAAAATTGTGAATGGTGTTTATAGGCCAATTATGTGCAATTTTGGTTTCGTAGATTCCGTTCAGGAATTTTTGATGTTAAAGATGCACCTCGCACAGGTAGGCCGGTCGTGGAAAATGTCGATAAAATCGGAGAAATGATCGATGTTGACCGCAATGTTAGCAGTCGTAACATCGCCCAGGAGCTAAAAATCGACCATAAAACAGTTTTAAACCATTTACACAAAGCTGGATTCAAAAAGATGCTCGATGTTTGGGTGTCACCCCAATTAACAGAAAAAAACATGATGGATCGAATTTCCATCTGCGAAGTCTTGGCCAAACGGAATGAGACAGACCCATTTCTTAAATGGATGGTGACTGGAGATGTGCGAAAACGATCGTGGTCAAAGAGTGGTGAAGCACCTCAAACGGCCAGGAAGGTTTTGCTATGCATTTGGTGGGACTGGAAGGGGATTATTTATTATGAGTTGCTTCCATATGGCCAAACGCTAAATTCTGATCTCTACTGTCAACAACTGGACCGTTTGAAGATAGCGACTGACCAGAAACGGCCAGAATTGGCCAACAGGAGAGATGTCGTGTTCCACCAGGACAACGCTAGGCCACACACATCTACAGTGACTCGCCAGAAACTTCGGGAGCTTGGTTGGGAAGTTTTAACGCATCCGCCATACAGTGCGGACTTGGCACCAAGCGATTATCATCTTTTTCTTGCATTGCAAAATTTCTTTAATGATAAAAAATTGGAATCTAGGGAGGATTGTGAAAGTCGACTACTAGAGTTTTTTACAAATAGAGACCAGGACTTTTACGAGAGAGGCATTTTGAAGTTACCTTTAAAATGACAACAAATCATACAACAAAACGGCGCATATTTGACCCAAATCGGACAATCCGAAGCATGTTAAATAAAGTCCTGAAGTTCATATAAAAATAATGGATTTCTTTTTCCCCAAACTAATATTATAATAATATTTACGCCAATATAACGGCAAATGTCAAAACTCCTAAATAGAGTTTATTTTTATTTCTTCTTTGACACTTTTTTGTGTAGAAGTAAGGGTTAAATTCATACAAACGTTTCCATAATTGTTTGCAACTGCTTATGAACAGATATAATTGTGAGTATACATGCATTGTACAGCTATGTTTCGGGTGGAATCTTTGATGCCCAGCACATGAGTTCAAACTGACATTAAAACATTAAATTTTGTTGTTTCTTTTAATTAATGATAAGCGTATCAGCGGGTTGACCGGGTCTTTGCTTGCACCTTAATTTTACTAAACGCAAATTAAAGAAAGTAAAATTTGTCGAAATTTTTAAATCTCTTGCGTGATTTCTTTCAGTTTTTAGAGCAGAGCCATTTTCTAAGTATAACTGACAGAATTATTTGTAACAGAACTTCATAAAATTGTAGTTTTTTTTTTATCTCAATGCCCGCCACTTTTACACAGATGGACGGACAAAGAACTAACTGAGACTGAAATGATGTTATAAATTCAGGCATTATTAACCAGTTGATTGTGTATGACGAATATGTATGCCATGATCCCTCTATCTGTCCTTGTCGACTTTCCTTATAAAACGTTATTATTATGAGAGGGTATTTGCCATAATAACTTGTTTTGGAAATTTTTTTTGTCACGTCGTTCCATTACAGCCTAGTTTTATATTACACATACCCTATGTTTGACGAGTATACGAGTATATCGCTAAAGAGCTCGACGCAGTTAATATGTTAATGTACAACCTGCTGCAAACGGAATAACAAAATTAGTTCGACGACATTTTATGTTCAGTGGGCATAAGAACACGCAACGATTCGTGTTAATTACGTATTTACAAATAAATAATAAACTTTTAACACAGTTTAGTTGCTTAATTCATAGATCCTGCTACTGGCAATACCGCAAAAACTAAAGCGAGAAAAGACAAAAAATAAATGACTACGTGCCCTTTTGGCACTAACAGAATCAAATTCATAAGATTTGTATTAGAATTTTTAATCCTTTTCGAAAGGAATGATAAACAGCTTCGGCATAGTCCCTACACAGAAAACCAAGCGAATTGCGGTTAGCTGTTTAAAGTTTGGAAACTTAAATTTTGCAGCACCTCGAATAAAACGAATGGCATCGAACATCTATATTATTTGGTGTGAAAATATAGCCTGCAACCGACCTATTCAGGAGAGCAAAATTATCTGAAATTACAAGCAGACATGTCAGAGAATATCACCCGAAGTAAAATCCAAAAAATTAACTGACTTCTTTAAGCAAAGAAGACCAAAAATTGGTTTTTCTTATTAAACACCGGCTTCTGCTCAGAATTGTGATGAGTCCTAAAGTATTCGAGCTTTAAGCACGGCTAGTGGTATATTCCAAAATTACATTTTTGCTTTATGTTATATGATAATAAGTTTTCGGGTAACAATTTTTTAAAGAATGGTTAAAATGTCCCTGAAAATGCATGATTAACGAAGATCACAAAGTCTGTCGTGTTTCAAGGAATATTTGGTATTTTCCATTTTCCTATTTTTTATTTTTGTAAATGTAGATCATGTTTCCGTATAACTAAAAAAATCAAAAAGTAAACCATAATGACAGACAAAGAGAGCTTTAATTTTGTTTTATCGAGTGTGCAATTCATGTATGACATACCATGAACTATGATGGATTATACTTACTTTTTTGAACGCAGGCATTACGGTACCAACAAAATTTCTTCCGTGATGCAACACCGTCGTTAAATTAAAGTAGCTAATATTATATCCTGTCTATAAATTATATTTAGATTTAATTGCAAAAGTAGATTGCATATTAGAATAAAGAAAACAAGTTGTAAATCATAATTTCGGACAAAGAAAATAATACTTTTGAAACTAGTGACTTGAAGAAACATAAAAGGTCTACTCGGCATTGAGATAAAATTGTAAAAGTAGATGTGACCCTGTCGAACAAAGAGAAAACTCATAG